GTTAGGCAAGGAGGCAGGTAAACCAGGTTAGTGCTGTTCTTCTCACCTTCATGTATTTTATTTCCAAACAAAATAGCACATCATGGGGCTTCCTTGAGGCTAACCAAGCTAATGAAGCTATCTCCTAAAAACGTAGATCCTTTTGGTTTTCTTTAATTATATTTTATTACTGTCTTTTCTCTTCTGTCAACAGTGTCTTTTTTCCTTTGGGAAGCTGATTCTTCCTAATAAGATGTTCTTTGTTCATATGTTTGTATGTGTGTGTTTGTGTGTGTGTGTGTGTGTGTGTGTGTGTTTGTGTATGTGATTGTGTGTGTGAGAGAGAGATTTGCCATTTTAACCATTTGAAGTGGGCATGTTCAGTGGCATTCATTATACATACAATAGTAGACAATGGTTATTATGCAAAACTTTCTCATCAGCCTAAACAAAATTCATTCAACTTTTTTTCTGCTTTGGACATTGAATGACTCCCAAAAGCTTATGTTTTGAAGGCCTTGGTCTCACTGTTGGAGGTGATAGAACCTGTAGGAGGTGTGAACTGGCGGAAGAAATTAGGTCATGGTGTGTGTGGGGGTGGCCTTAAAGGAGATGCAGGGACTCTGGCCCCCTCTTTTCTCTGTCTCTGCTTACTTGCCACCATGAAGTCAGCAGCCTCTGCTCTTGATTATGTATTGCTATAATGCGCTGCCTCAGCACAGGCCCCAAAGCAACAAAGCCAATCATCCATGGACCGACCCCTCTGGAGCTGTGAGCCAAACAAACCTTTCTTTCTTTATCTCAGGTGTTTTATCCCAGTGATAGAAAGCTAGCACATCATTAGAAAAGAACTCATGTTTGGCAAGCTTCATCTGTGTTACGGTAAATATCAGGATTTCATTCCTTTCTATGGATAAATAATTTAGGAATGTGAACTAGCACATTTATATTTTTTCATTCACCTGGGTTTTTATTCTTTCCTATCGGTGATAGTGGGCATCTGAACTCAGGACCTCAAGCTTGCTAAGCTGACTCAATACCTCTGAACCATGCTATCAGCCCTCATTATTTTTACAATAGGGTTTTCCTTTCCCACCTGGACATGCACCTGAGCTGCAATCTGCCTACTACAGGTTGTTGCCTGTCATTGCTGGGGTCATAGTTGTGCATAACCACGTCCAGCTTCCCTTCCATGGAGACAGAGCCTTGAAGACTTTTCTTTCCAAGGATGGCCTGAATCTGCTGTCCTCCCAATCTCAATCTCTTTTGCAGCTTGAGATG